CCTATGATTTCTGTTTTAAAAACATTCTATCCAAATCTCAGAATTATCAATTCCATTCCACCAAAGGTGTTCGGATGCAGTGCCTTTGTCCATGTCAATCATCAAGATCAAAGTAAACTTGAACCTCATGCCATAAAGTGTATGTTTCTTGGGTATTCTCCATCACAAAAAGGATATAGATGTTACTCACCCATAACCAGAAAATTCTATACTTCTATGAATGTCAAATTTTTTGAACATCTGCCCTATTATTCCAAAACTCATCTTGAGGGGGAGAATACAAGTCTGAGTCAAGCTTAGTTTTGAGAAAGTGTCCTTCCTAGACCTGTTGAATCAGAGCCAGTATCCTCTGTGTCTAGTGAAAGTGTGTCAAATTCTCTTGAAAAAGAACTATATGCTACTGTACTTGGAAAAGAGCTTCGTGTTTACTTTCGTCGCACCACAACTACTGATATAGAGCCCAAAAGAGCACCTAATCACAGCCATGAGTCTGATCTGAATCCAGCTCCTCCCGAAATTCCAACAAGTAACAATTTGATGGATATTTCAGCAAGCAACACTTCGATGGAACCAGCTACTGCAGAAGTTCTTAATGATTATGAGCCAATTTCACTACAAAAGGGTAAGCGAACTTGCACACAACATCCTATCTGTAAGTTTGTTTCTACAGAAAGACTTTCGCCACAGTTCAAGGCTTTCTCGACTCAACTTGACAGCACCTCCATACCAGCCAATATTTATGAAGCTCTTAAACATCCAAGATGGAAAGCAGCTGTACAAGAAGAAATAAACGCTCTGAAAAAGAATGGCACATGGAGCTTGACTGACCTACCTCCTGGAAAATCCACAGTAGGATGTGACGCCGGGTAGGATAGTGATTATCCTATTGGCTGGTTGTAGCAGATGATTTGCAAGAAAAGAACGATAGAAAACGCCCAAAAAACAGAGAAAATACTCTGAATTCAACTCAATATTATTAATAATGCAGAATGCTGAAAACTAACCCACAAGCCGGGTTAAATAGCTGCGAAATACGAAATTATTGGAAAATTACCAAAAATGGCAAAATCCCGAAATTATACCAAAATAAAATATTAAGTAAAAGAAGTAAGTTGCCAAAAATTTGGCTTATTTCGAGTTCTCTAACATATAAAAAAAAGGAAACTAAATATTACCATAAATAGTAAAAAATAACTTAAAATCGAATTTTAGAAAGGAAAACAGTGGATTTTGGGCTTGAAATTGACGTCCACCGAGCAAAGCTGGGTGGCCACGACGTGCGCGCCAAAGAGAGCTTTCCGAATTGGGGTCATAATAGCGATTTCGATAACCGTAGCCAAAGTTATGGCCAAATTACCAAAGACGCGTCAAAATCTCCCAATTAAGGAAATAATGGTGATTTACTTTCCATCTTTGCGCCGATCTGCCATCTCATGGTATCTCAGCGCCATCATCGTGCAATCTGACAAATCAGCATCACTTGACTCGGATCCTCCTGCATCAGGATGCAAGTGGATATTTAACGTGAAGTACTTGGCAGATGGTAGGGTTGATAGGTTTACAGCCCGATTAGTTGCTAAGGGCTTTACTCAAACCTATGGAGTGGATTATCAAGAAACATTTGCCCCAGTAGCAAAGCTCAACAAAGTTAGAGTCTTTATTTCTCTTCCTGTGAACAATGAGTGGCCTCCCCACCAAGTCGATGTGAAGAACACATTCTTGAATGGGGATCTCACTAATGAAGTATACATGACAATTTCTCCAGGTTTTGAAAATCACAATAACAGAAATAAATTGTGCAAGCGCCAAAAGTCACTCAACGTATTGAAACAATCGCCACGTGCCTGGTTTGAAAGGTTTACATGTGCTGCTAAGAGGTTTGAGTATACTCAAGGGCAGTCCGATCACACTTCATTCTTCAAATTCTCACCCGACAGTAAACTCTCAATCTTAATAGTGTACGTTGATGACATAGTTCTTACAGGAAATAATCTGGTGGATATGGAGAATTTGGAGACCTTTTTATCAAAGGAATTTGAGATTAAGGACTTGGGGAATCTCAGATATTTCTTGGGAATGGAGATAGCAAGAACCAAAGATGGAGTTTCAATGTCACAACGAAAGTATGTGTTATATCTTTTTCAAGAAACGGGAATGCTTGGCTGTAAGTCAGCTGCTACACCAATGGAACCAAATGTGAAACTTGGTAATTCAAAAGATAGTCCACCAGTTGATAAGGGGCAGTACCAAAGGTTAGTAGGTAAGCTTATCTACCTTTCTCATACTCGGTCTGATATCTCCTTTTTAATAAGTGTTGTCAGCCAATTTATGCATAACCCTATGGAGGAACATCTTGAAGCAATTTACCAACTATTGAGATATCTAAAAATGGCCCCTGGGAAAGGTTTATTCTTTGGAAAACACTCTAAAAAGAATATTGAGGTATACACGGATGCTGACTGGGCAGGTTCAATTAATGATAAACGATCAACTTCTGGGTATTGCACCTATGTATGGGGTAATTTGGTGACATGGAGAAGCAAGAAACAATCAGTGGTAGCACGGAGCAGTGTTGAGGCCGAATATAGATCAGTAGCTTTGGGTGTGTGTGAGGCTCTATGGCTTAAATGAATTTTGGAGGAATTAAAGATGACATGTGAACCTAACATCATGATGTTTTGTGATAATCAAGCAGCTCTTAGCATAGCACACAATCCGGTGCACCATGATTGAACCAAACATGTGGAGATTGACCGGCACTTCATCAAGGAGAAGATTGATCAAGGAGTAATAAAGATGAAATATGTTCCTACAAGATTGCAGATTGCTGACTTGCTAACTAAGGCCTTAGCAAGACAACTATTTGATGACCTTTTAAACAAACTGTGAATGATAAATATCTATTCCTCAGTTTAAGGGGGAGTGTTAAAGTTAGGATTAGATTCTTTAATTATTCGAATATTGTATCCCATGTAAATAGGAATTGCTATCTGTTAGTTAGGGATTGAATTAGTTAGGATATACTTTTTTTTTTAAATTGCCTAAAACGTGGGAAATTGATTACATTCAGTTACATGAATTCCCTTATATATACGGATGTAACTTTCATTCAAAAAAAAATTGAACTCTGCATTTCTTCAAAATATATTCTTCAATCAATATATAAATTCTTCAATTAATATATCCTTCAAGCCAATTGTTAAAAATGATTTTTAAAAAAGGGCCGCTGACTACATAAGCCCACTTTTTTTTGGCAATGCCCACAAATTTTGTAATACTCAATTCATACATAAACTTTTCAAATCAAAATTGGTCAGAAAAAAAAAATGTAAAATAGAGAATGAAAATGTCCAGGTGGTGAGTTGTCTTCAAATGATTGGGACTACTTTTAAAATACTTTTATATTCATTCTACTTTTCATCCCAATACATTTGAACCTTTAAAATATATTAGAAAGATAGAATTGGCGTGTGAGAGAAAGACGAACCCTTTAAAATTTTGAGTTGGAAATAATTTGAAATAGAGAAAGAGAGAAATCGGAGAAGAAGAGAGTTGCTTTTAAGCTTTAGGAAGGAAATTTTATCTTCTTGCTTGGATTTAATTCCTGGTATGGCTGTAAAAGAAGGTAAGTTGGGAAATTTTAATTTTTGTAGATCTACAAAAGAAGAGAGGCTATCTGTCAGGCCTATTTTTAGAAAATCACGGGCGGCCACTGGGCCTCATCGGGTGATAGATCCGTCATGTGGCCGTGGCTCGAAATTCTACTTGTGCACTTGATCTTGCTAAACAAGTTTGCTTTTTTATTAAGGGATATAATCCCACATCGAATAAAAATGAAAATATAGACCAATTTATAAGGGTTTGGGCTACTCCTCTTAACAAGATTGACCTTTTAAGATAGAACCCCAAGTCTCAACATGGTATTAGAGCCCATTAAACTCAAACGAGCGATTCGATCTGATTAAGACTAAAAAAATGAACACATGGATTTCAAGATTGGTTTGTTCAAACGAGCCACCATCTTGCGGTTGCATATTAAGGGATATAATCCCACATTGAATAAATATGAAAATATAGACCAATTTATAAGGGTTTGTGCTACTACTCTTAACAAGGTTGACATTTTAAGATGGAACCCAAAGTCTTGACATTTTTACTCTACTAAGTGAGAAGATTCCCTTCTACTAGTGTACAATAGTATGTAGTAGATCTTCTATCAACCATAAATCTTACCCAATTAACAAATGTATAAGCTTCAACACTTCCCTCTTGAGTTTTTCAAAATAGAAGTCCCGCTTTGGAGGTACCTTTCAAATAATGTATACTTTGATATACTGCCAATGGTGCATTTGATTGCCAATATTTTTTTATGGAAAATGTCATTTTTCCATCCAAATTCATACTATCGTGTTGTTTGATTGATATTTTTTCCATAAAAAATATTTTCCTAGTTTTGATCACATGACCACATTTTCCTTGAACACAACGAAAACATTTTCTTAAGGGGGAGCGTGTTTTTATTTACCAAGTAATTCTTTTTCTTTCTATCTCATTTACCTCATGTCTCTCTTATCTACCCACCAATAAAAATGAACAAATATAACTTTTTTAGGTTGAAAATTAAATCAATAAAAAATATTTGATTGACAATTTTCATGCAAATAAGTTCAAGGTAATTTAATGGTCTAAAATTTATTTTCTTTACATGTAATTTCCATACTTGCAATCAAACACATCCCAAGTGTAATTTATATGGATTATGCAAACATTGACTCACACCACTTGTAGAATATGCAATATCACGACACTAACAGAATATTGGGTCTTGATAGTTTTATCTGAATGCCCCTCAATTGAGAGTTTCTCCTCATTAAATAGGAATCTTTTCCTTAATTATCGTCACAAATTACAGCCAGAATATTTCTATCAAATCCCATAATTACATCACTATTCTATATTTACAATATAATCATGTGCATAATGTGTGTGTTATCATGCTGTCATCCCCCTTCAAATTGATGCTGTTGATCAAAGAGCATCAATTTGTCAACCATAAATTGATGTCGAGGACGTCCGAGAGCTTTGGTAAATATTTCAGCTGTCTGAAGATATGTAGAAACGTGAGGAAGTGTAATAACTTGTTGGTCAAAGGCTTCTCATATGGAGTGACAATTGACCTCAATATGCTTGGTTCGCTCATGGAATACCAGATTAGCAGCAATCTGAATAGCGCTTGTGTTGTCAGCATGAAATGGAGTAGGAATAAGCTGAGGAAAACCAATTTCACCAAGTAAGCCCCGAAGCCATACAATCTCAGAACAAGCAGAGGACATAGCTCGATATTCAGACTCAGTAAAAGACTTTGACACACGATTTTGCTTTTTACTCTTCCATGAGATAAGTGCATTTCCAAGAAACATGCACCAACCAGTAATTGATCGTCGAGTATCCGCGCAACCAGCCCAATTAGCATTAGTAAAACCAATCAACTGTAGAAAATTCCCAATAGGAAAGAATAAACCTCGACCAAAAATACTCTTTAGATAACGAATGATACATCGCATGCGGCCAGATGAGAATGTCAAGGAGCTTGCGTAAACTGGCTAACTTGCTGGACTGCAAAGGAGATATCAGGCCTTGTTATCGTTAAATAGTTTAAACTTCCCACCAACTGTCGATATAGCAAAGGGTCAATTAAAAGATCTCCTTCTGCCTGGTAAAGCTTTAGATTGACTTCCATAGGTGTGAGAAGCGAGTTGCCGGACCCAAGTCCAGCAGAAATAATTATATCTTGAGTATATTTGTGTTGATGTAATAGTGTTCATTTAGAAGTAGAATGCACTTCAAGGCCAAGAAAATACTGCAACGGACCAAGATCTTTCATGTGAAAGGAAATTCGAAGATGTTGCTGCAGTTCCTCAATTAATTGTGAATCAGAACGTGTAATGACAATATTATTCACGTATACTAGAAGAATCACAATGCCAATATCAGTCTTTCTAAGGAAGAGAGAAGAATCATATTGACTTTGGATAAAAGTGAAATCAAGGAGAGTAGTGTGAAATTTTTCAAACCATGCCCGCGGTGCTTGCTTTAAACCATATAATAACCGCTTCAAATGACAGACTTGAGGATGAGTGAGTGAACAAGCTGGGAGGAGGAGTCATGTATACTTCTTCTTTAAGTTCTCCATGTAGAAAAGCATTCTTGACATCTATTTGTCGAAGTGACCATTCTTGGGATGCAGCAATGGCAATGATAGTGCTACTATAGTCATCTTAGCAACTGGTGCAAATGTCTCCTCAAAGTCAATCCCATACTCTTATCTGTTGCCAAGCAGCACCAAGCATGCCTTGTATCGATTGATGGAACCATCAGTGCATAACTTCTTTGTGTAAACCCATTTGTATCCAATAACTTTTGCCCCATTTGGACAGGGTGCAATGTCCCAAGTATGATTATCTTGGAGAGCTTGAAGTTCTTCATGCATAGCTTGCCTCTAACAGGATTGATTAGCAGCCTGAGAGTAAGAGTTGGGGACAAAAGTAGTGTCAATCGTAGCTTGGAGTGCAGTATGTGAAAAACCATACTTATCTGGAGGACGAGTGACCTGATTGGAGCGTCGAAGTTCAAGCTCCGGAGGACCAAGCTTAAATTCAAGATCAGACATCGGTTCGAGATTAGGCGAAAGAGGTAGTGGGGAACGTCTCTGATATACAATTCCTGGTTTAAAGCGTTCAATAGGATAAGGCGTAGCTTCAAAAGTAGGAAGAATAACAAAAACAAAATCAGAAGTGACACGTGACTGGAAGAAATATTGATTTTCAAAGAAAACCACATTTCGAGAAATGCGTAGCTTATTAGTGTCCACATCATAACACACAAACCCCTTATGATTAGGACTATATCCTATCAAAGCACACTTAGCTGCTTGAGCTGTAAGCTTGTGACGTTCGATGGGTGGTAAATGAATAAAGCAGACACAACCAAAAGTATGTAAAGAATGATAGTCAGGAACGTTACCAAACAAGCGAGAGTAAGGAGAGTCATAATCGAAAGTGTGGGAAGGCAATCTATTAATCAAGTATACAGCAGTAGATAAAGCTTCTACCCAAAACTTAGAAGGCACAGAAGATTCAATCAATAAGGTACGAACAATATCTAGGATGTGTCGATTTTTACGTTCTGTGACACTATTTTGTTGGGGAGTATAAGGGCAAGAGCGTTGAGAAAGGATTCCCTTTATTTTGAGATAGTCCTGAAAATCTTTAGACATATACTCCTCCCCAGAGTCAGAATGTAAAATTTTAATGTTAGTAGAAAATTGGGTCTCAACATAAGCAACAAAAGTTTGAAAGATTGAGAAGACTTCGGCTTTGGAACAAAGAAAATACACCCAAGTAAAACGACTGTAATCATCAATGAATGTCACAAAATACTTGTATTGAGCATGTGAAATAATAGGATTGACACCCCAAACATCAGTATGACTAATATCAAAGCAACTAGAAGCATGACTACCATGATCAGGGAAAGGTAAAACTTTGCTCTTACTAAGTTTACATATAGTACAATCAGGAGATAGATGAATATGATCTTTATTACCCAAATAACCTTTTTTCACAAGATATCTCAAAATAATAGAATTAGGATGTCCCAAATTTTTATGCCGACATTAGAGTTCTCAATTACAGTAGTATGAGCTAAAGAAATAGTACTAGGAATGGAAAACTGGAGCGGAAACAAATGTCCCACCTTAAGCCCCTTCGCGATCACTTTCCCCAATGCTTGATCCTGCACAAGACAACCATCACGACCAAAATGAACATCATAATTGTTATCCACCAATTGTTCAACAGAAATTAAACTTGTAGATAAAGTAGGAGATACAAACACATTGTTAAATGAAGTCCCCAAGTTTCCAATTGCAATAATTGGTAACGTACTACCATTGGTTATTTCTATATGTTGCTTACCCTCATACTTTTTAACATCATGCAAGTTATCCGTATTCCTAGTCATATGATTTGAAGCAGCAGAGTCAACCAACCAAGGAGAAGAGAGTAAATTTTTCTTACCTTGTAGTCCCAAAGCAGAGAAGGCAGATATAATCATTTGATTCATTTGTTGTATCATCTCGAGTGTGAGAGTAGAAGAGTTGCTTACTGAGGTTTGATCACCAGATGAGGTAGATTGAACATTAGCTTGAAAAGCCTGAGCCGGTGGTTTTGAGGTCGTATCCGACAGTCCTTAATGATGTGTCCTTCTTTCTTGCAGTAATTACCGAATGTCCTGTTACAATGCTTGGCAATATGTCCAAACTCTTTGTACTTGTAACATTGCGGTTGATGTTTAGATTTTCCTCGTCCCTGGGTAGCATAGGCCACATTAATAACCTCAGAGGACACAGTCATTTGTCCCATTACCAGTTGGGTGGTGAGACGTTCTTCACGTAATAATTCTCCCAGACAGACATCCAATGACGGAACGGGATTACGATTTAGTAAACTAGCCCTAACAGTTTTGAATTCCGATCGGAGCTTCATAAGAAATTGATCCCTTTGATTTTCTACTTGAATTTCCTGTAGTGCAGCTAATGTTTCTTTGGGAACCTTAGAATGAATTATGCTGGAGTATTCACTCCATAAATTAAGAAAACCAGTACAAAATTGATCAATCGGTAGATTACCTTGATTGTATTGTGCAATCTCTAATTCCAATTGGAACTTCCAAGCAGAGTTTTCTTGATTGTAAATTCGTCTGAGTTAATCCCACATATCTTTGGCCGTAGTGAATGAGCGGAGATTGAATATCATATGGGATTCGATTGATCCCAAAATCCATGAGATAATACGAGCATCCGTACTTTCCCATTGTTCTTTTTCGTTTTTATCCCCAGGAGTCGTAGATGACCCATCCAAATGTCCCCAAAGTTCTTTGCCTTTTATAAACATTTTGAATTGAAACTCCCATTTGGAATAATTTTTTCCATTAAAACGGACGAGAATATTTTTCGTCGACATCATAAATGCAGCAATCCAAGACAATTCTAATTAGACAACAACAATAATATGTTTACTATAGTCCAAAAGTGGTCCAACAATAGCCCAAAATAACTTATAGTCCAAGTAGTAATAGGTGAATGTCAGCAGCCCAAAATGTAACTAAAAGATAGAATTATTGGCCCAATTGACAATATGTAACAGCAGCCCAAAATAATCAACCCAATTACCGGCCAAAAATAAGTAATAGCAACCCAAAATAATAGCCCAATTACCGGCCCAAATTTAACAGTCCAATAATATAATAGAAGCCCAAAAAATGAACCTGCAGATAGGTCGTCGCTCCTGCAATCAATCGCGCTTTCGTTGCGGTCGTCGCCTCCACCACCGGTCATTACCTCTACTTGCGACGTTGTCTACGCCGTTCCAGATGAACGGCAAACTGAGAAACGGAGAAAAAAATTATTTTTCTCCAGAAAACACGAACCGACCAATGTTCGGTCAGAAGAAAAGAAAGCCAATACACCAAATAAATTGGTAAGATTTCTGACCAGATTTTGCAACGCCTAGAAATTTTAAGAAAATTGTAGAATCAGAGGAGGCTCTGATACCATGATAGTTTTGTATGAATGCCCCTCAGTTGAGAGTTTCTTCTCATTAAATAGGAATCTTTTCCCTAATTATCGTCCCAAATTGCAGCCAGAATATTTCTATAAAATCTCGTAATTACATCACTATTCTATATTTACAATATTATCATGTGCATAATGTGTGTGTGATATGCTCTCAGGTCTCGTGTTTGAAAGGTTAGCTTTTTGATGTAGGACAATCCTATTCCAAATAGGATTGATCTTATTTCTTTTTCTTATTCTTTCTTTGGTTTACGATTTTTTTAATTAACATATGAGTTTTTCTTTCTTTTAGGCTACAATAATGTTTCATTTCAGGATTTTAGTTTTATTTCCTTTTAAGATTTAGTTTAGTTTCCATATAGTTTTATTTCATTAAGTCCACTTTGTTGAATCTTCTGCTGCAGTGGCAAAAGGATTAGAGATAATTCAAAGGGAGTTTATCTAGGGAGGATTAGGGGAGGAGGAGAACTTACATTTGGTTAATTGGGATGCAGTTTGTTCTCCCATAAGAGTGGATGGTCTCGGATTGAGGAGCTTTGTATTGTTTAATAAGAGTCTAAGACCTTGCTGGATAAGTGGTTGTAACGATTCGGAGTGGAGAGGGAGAGTTTTTGGAAAGAAATTATGGAGACAAAATATGGTGTTATGGAGCGAGAATGGTGCTCAGTCGAGGGTCGTAATTGTTATGGGGTAGTTTGTGGTGGTAACGATTCGGCGAGGATGGAGCAATTTTTAGGATAGATTGACTTTTATGATGGGGAATGGTAGTACTATTAGTTTTTGGGGTGATTGTTAGTCTAGAAAGTAACTGCTTAGGGTGGGTTTCCCTCTTTGTATCGTATTGTTTTGGTCCATCTACTATGGTGAATGAGATCTTAGATATACATAATGGAAATCTCAGTTAGAACATTATTTTTGGTCGGGGTTTGTAGGACTGGAAACTGAATGATTATTCACTGCTTCTGACATCTTTTTATGAGGTGCATATCAAGGTAGGAGAGGATGATTATAATAGGTAGAGGTTGACAGTGGATGGTATCTTCTCAGTCGGCACTCATTTTAGATTTTTATTAGGACCTATGGACAGTTCATTCCCTTAAAAGATGGTATGAAAATGCAAACTACCTCTAAGAGTGGCATTTTTACCATGAACAGTCGTCAGGAGACGTGTTTCCAGCGGATAATCTCCGAACAAGGGATTTTTATGTTACAAAGTGGTGCTATATGCGTAGGACGAATGGGGAGACGATTGACCACTTGTTCCTTCATTATGATGTTGCTCGTTTGTTGCGGAATGATTTTCTGGTGTCTTAACACATGAATTTGGTGTTGCTGAGGCGTATGGAAGACGTGTGTAAGTTTCGCGATAAGGATAGCAAGCTTGTATAGGACCTTATTCCGGGTTGCATCGTAAGGTGTGTGTGGAGAGAAAAATAGCTGTTGTTTTGTGTTCAAACATAGACAAAAGAATTGTTTTATTTTACATTGTATACTTGGTTCAATGCTATGGCTACTAGGCATGTAGATGGACTGCCCAATTTCAAGTTATTTCTCTCTAGTTTAAATTGATAATACACATCTTGTATATTTTCCATTAATTAATAAAATACTTGATTACCTTTCAAAACAAAGTTAGGTAATCATTTTTCATATATATATAAAAAAAACTTTGTACATTTTTCAATACAATCAAATTATTTTGTTGACTTTTAATTTTCCTCCTTTTCAAGAAACTAATTCTATTTCTACACCAAAATTGGTATCAGAACAATGTTATTGATCATGATACTGCAATGGGAAAGCAAAAACGTATAAGTTGAAAACTTGAGGTCTGCTGATACCTTATACATGAAAATTGATAATAAATATAAGCATAAAGATGAAAAATATTGCGGTAAATTTGAAATTGAAGACCTCAAGCTCGAGCTACACTCCGAGAATGAACAAGTTCAGAAGAGTCCAATCAAAGAAGAAGATTGAACTTTTCGATCAAGGAGTCAAAGGTGAGGTTTGCCAAATTAAGAATGAAATTCTCGCTAACCTTCTATGAGATTCGAATGTCAAAAAATTGCATAAGCACGAGAAAAATAATAAAAGAATTGTAGTATTGAAGATGTCATCATTAGAATAAAAAAAGAACATAAGAAGCACAAAAAATTAAATTTTTTAATATTTATATTGCACAAACGGGATTCAAGAATGAGAGATTGAATAAAGCATCGTTTATAAAGGAATGCCACAAAAGAAATGTCTTTAAGGATGAGAAAATGAGCAATGTAGGAGCAAAGTTGATTTAAGAATAAAGAGGTGAACAATTGTTCAATATGTGACATTGATAAAATTTTTGAGTATTTTCCTGCTGATTCATTGATTTTCCTTTTTCAACAAACTTGAGTACGAGTTTTTCTTCAAGTGAGGGAGAATGTTGTAGGACAATCCTATTTGAATTAGAATTGATTTTATCATTTTTTTTCTTCTTCTTTCTTATCTAGAAAAGAATATCATATTATTCTTGGAACTCTTCCGAGTATTAATTTTTCTTCTTGTTTCCAAGAAACTAGTTCGGCTTCTACGCTACTTTTCTTATGTGAAAGATGCATAATATATTCAAATCATTTACAAAGAATACAATATAGATTGTAGAATATAATCTCTTAAGATGCTATAAAGTTGGCTAATTCTAAATAAGGAAAATTCAAAAATACTACACTGATTTAGTTGCTCTTTTCCAGGGATGTCAATCTCATTCAAATCCCCAAAATCTATCCCATTTACATACCTAAACCCTTGCATATTCCAACACCCTCCCTCAAGCTAGCTCATAGATATTGATTATGCTAACGATGTTCTACTGATTTGAATAGTCATTTTGTAAACACATCTGCCAACTGATATGGACAAATGGCATGCAAATGAGACCACTTTCCAGTTTCTCCTTTATAAAATATCTAATCGACCTCCACATGTTTTGTCCTATCATCCTGAACTGGATTCTTTTCTATGTTAATAACAGTTTGTTATCATAGTATATCTCATAGGAGTCTCTCTTGATTTTCAATTCATTCAGTAACCTTTTTTCCGATAAGTTTACACATTCCATGAGCACAGCTCTAAACTCTGATTGTTGTGAGTGTTGGTCACTTAGACAAGCCCAAAACATATAGCTAGAGAATTTCCTTGAGTCCTAATATGGAGTTATACTGAGGAGATATAAAGATGTCCAATATGAAGCACAACAAGATTTTTAGAACATGATGCACCGTCAACAACAAAGTATGCAATGTGATAATAGACCATGATAATAGTGAGAACATGGTATCCAAAGCATTGGTGAAAGCTTTAAATTTGAAGACGGAAAAATACTCATCTTGCTATCAAGTTTTGTGCCAATTATTTGAAGGGCAGGATTATCATTGTGAAAAGTTGAATTGTTCGAATGAGTTTGCAAGTGTTTGGAGAAGATGATGTCTGCTTTCGGAGGAGGATAAAAATGAAGAAGGATTGTACTACCAAACAATATAATCTGCAATGGGAGAATAAAATGAGGAAGAGAAAAAAAATATAGAAGAAAAATATGGCAGAGAGATAAAATTTTAAAAACTTTGACAAGGCTCTGATACCATGTTACAATTCCTACTGAGTTGTGAAATGAATTGTATATTTCCAACTGTTGTATTACATATTTGTATATAAACATAACTAGACTAGGAACTTAAGAAAGGAAACAAATTTCATAAAATAATAAACTATTATTCGGGATGACTATACCACAAATACAAAATATCTACAGAATATTAATCCCTAATTTTTATGCAAAAAAATCCCTAATGTTAGGGATTTACTAAAAAATTCTTCAAATCTTCAACACTACAAAATTGGGACATAGATTTCTTTTATTTTTTTATTTTTTGGTGTGTGCGAGCGCTTTTCCAATGTACTCGGTTTAAAGCGGAAAAACAAAGAAAAGAAAATGATGCAGATCTCTTTTGCTGGCATCGATTCGATGATAGCATTGTATTCCATTGATGCGCTGTAAGGATTCTCATTGTTGAGAATAAATTTATTTTAATTGATGGTAACATTTTGGCTCCGACTACTGGATTCAAAGTGAGTAAAACATTTGATTGGAATGATTTCCTCTTAGTATTTTCAAGCTGCAAGAATTCTCATGCATGCGTAATAAGGAAAGTAGTTGTCAACAGAAAGTAGAGGGAAAAGGCATGCACGTAGACACACCATTACCAATACAACCACACATGCAACAACCAGTCAAATGAAACTGTAACTATAAAATATACACGAATGTTTGGGAGGATTAAAGTAATAGCATTGGATAGTATTAAGTAAGAGAGAGAATAAAATTGTACTTTCAGGCCCTATCATATACTTTGTACCAACATGATCTCAAGGAATTCCAGATCAAATGATTACCTCAGAGAAATCATATAATCAAACATCTTACTGGTAAGTGTATTTTATACACTTATTCAAAACTTTAAAACGATGATATTTAGTTTCTTTTCGGATGAATTATGGTCTAAATTATTGCATTTTGTGTTGAATATGTAAAATTCAATGACGGTACAAGAAATTGAAAGAAGAAGCAAAAGTGGGCAAAATTGGAGAAAAATGTCTAAATTGTAAGAGATTCAAAGTTCGGGGACTAAAGTGCAAATATTTAAAAATTGTATCGAACCTTACGATGAAGATCCAAGAGCATTAAGAGTCAATTGGATGAAAAAAAAATGTCAGAGATCAAATTTAGGCAAAATATGATCACAAATCAATTTCTAACCGAAAAGTTATGCTCTGAAATTTCAGCCTCACATTGGAGAATGATGTCTGAAGCCAAATTGTAGCCCTTTGAGTTAGCTTTCCAATGCAACTTGAATCGCCTCAATCGAAAATCAGGAGAGAAAGTTATGATAAAAATACTAAATGATGTGCTGTTTGTCGAAATGTGGCGCTGCGACGCCGGAGAATCAGAGAGATGGCGTCGCGGCGCCTCTTCCTATTTGTGACGCGGCACTGTGGCGTCGAATTCCAGGTGCAGCCGAGCCAACAATCCGTAACCTAAGCTTATTTTGGCCCAATTGAAGTCCAAATGAAAACCCTACCTTCTACACAAGACAAAAGGGATATAAAAAGAAATTTTTTAGAGACTTGAAAGGGTTCCACACATTAGGAGGCAAGAAACACATCTTTGGGAAAGGAGCAGAGATTCAAAGGGAGAAAATATCGACAAATTCATCGTGTGAAGCATAAATTGGAAGAAGAAGGAATTTTTGGTGCAAGATCCACCTTTTCTTCTACATATTTAATTCTGAATCCGGTGATGTACTCTAAAACAAATTGTCGTTGCTCTTCTTTTATGATGCGTAAGATCCTTTATATTTTCTTATTAAGATTTTTGGTTTTTATTTTTTCCATGTGTTGATTCTTGCTATGAATTGATTGCATTTAATTATTTGATCAATAATTTGATGAATTTTGTGAATCCTTTATGAATAAAGATATGAGTTTATGATCTAGACCATATAGTAAAATCCAGTACATTGGTATAACGAATATAGATACATATGCCATTTATTGCGGTCATAATTGAATTCCTAGGACAAAGAACTCATTTCACTAAGTTAAATTTTTATAGAGATATGGAATTTAATTAGTTGAATAGGCTCAATGAGAACTCTAAAGGAGTAAATTGAATACAATAGGAGAATTCGACTGAACACTACATTAGAATTGAGTCTTAATTTGAGATGTAAAGGTGATCAATAAGTGAAATTATTCTGCCCTAACACCCTCTAATTATCTGATCTTACAAGTTTTTGGTGTGAGCATTTATTTATTGGCCAGAATTAAGATTTAAACTCAAATCATTATAATTTTTAATTTGTTTTCATCAAATAGTAGTTAAAGGAAAATTAAATTTAAGTGCTAGAAAATAGTCCCTGTGGGATTGACAATCCAAACTCTTAGGTCCACTATTACTTGTTACGGTTCGTACACTTGCGAAACTAAAATTAACAACACATACTCATGGGAATATCTCCTTTTAACGGAGATGAAATTTGAAGGATGATCTCTGTATTGTTCTCTACAATTGAATCCTTTTTTATTCCTGACATTGCATGTTAAAAGTAAAAAGTATCAAGAAGTCAATCGTTTGGTGAAGACATAGGGAAATAACCTAGACTACAGTTTAAGAAAATTAGTACAAAGAGATATGATTATATCAGACTTGTCACTTCTTCATTATTTTTTCAAAATTAAAAACGACAATGATATAGCAGATTATAGATGAACTAATCATTTCTGTATTTTCTCTATAATTGAAAGAAGTAGAGACTTGCCATGAGCTTCACTCATGCATAGTCAAAGCTTGTTGGTTTCAATACCTCAATACTTCAGAAGCTCAGGTCAATTTTTCTCTAGTGTGTTGATAGTAGATGAAATTAAAAACGTGAAAAGCTCAAAGAAACAAAAGTATAATCAAATGCTTCATTTCATATTGACTTTGGCAAAACTTGAATTAATAATTTCTGTACCAGTTTTCTTATAGTGCATTTCTAATTGAGATTAATCAAAACTTTTAACATGTGCTTATGTCAATGGGTTGTCCCTTCTTGTTTTTGACAGTCGTTAAACACATCCAACTTCAGTGGACAATGTGACACTAGTCACACTGCCACTGGAGCATTACTTTTAATTTCCAAACCCAATCTTTCAAGTGAATGTATTCTATAATATCAACATAAAATATATAGATCCCATCTGGTAAATGAAATAGTTCTAACAAACAAATAATAAAGCAACAGTTTTTGGAATATTCAAGGCTGTGGATTACAGAAGACAAAGTCCCATGCTTAAAGAGTCCTGATCAAATCTCCTCTTATATTATCTACATTACACATAACACTAAATGGCACTTTCATTCAGGTATTCAACCTAAAACGGAATCTGTTTCCAACAACACCATCTTAGTCTTAATACATCTATTCAAAACTCAAACTACCATTACTTTCAAGATCTTGAATTTTAGTTATCATGGAATAATCATGCACAGGGCTATCAAGGGTGCATGCAATGTGCAATAAAGTGCAAAAGTTCATCTAAAACTTATTCAATACAGTTTATATAAAATATACTCAACTGAACTTTGACTTGCACGAGCCGATAAGAAATTTTGCCTGTAATCATATGGGTCTATTTTGACTCGAACAAAGATTCCTATCACCTTTTCTTCAAATGATTCAGGTTGCCCAAATAGCTCAAGTAGCAAGCTTTTCTTCAAGTAGATGAGCTTTATATTGTCAGTTATAATGGAAGCGAAATAAATTCGATGGGCACCATATTCTTTTCCTTCTTTCTGGGAGTACTTCACTGCATCCTGCTTTCTCTGCCTTTTATAAGCAACCAAGGTTTTGCCTTCGTTGTCCTCTGAATCATTCCCAAGCTCATCCTCTTCGGATTCATCTTGGTTCTCAGTAAAATGCAACTCCAGAAGATTATATATTCTGTTTTTATTTATTATTTTCTTCCCAAAAAGAGGTTGTAAACTGGCATCACATGTTAATCTTTTCTTATTCTTCGGATCAAAAAGCTTCTTTTCTTTGATATAATTATCTACAATGGAAGCTACATCATGCTGTGATAATGTCACACTAGTATCTTTAACCATTGAAGCAAGAAACTCAATAAGAGATCTGGAACCCCAGCCAATAAACTCCATTCTTTTGGATTTATTGTTTTTCTGTGTAGCAGATTTGGATCTCTCAGCTTTCCCGTTCTCTTCTTCATGATCTTTGGCAAAATCTTTTGAAACCCATTCAGACTTGTAGTTTTCTCTCTTCTCCATCCGATCTTGTGATTAAAGAAGCTTCTTTGTCTTTAAACCTTCTTCTCTTTAATGGTCTAGTAATATTCAAGTGAGCAAACCCTCAAACAACTCTTGATCTTTAGAATCCACCTTGTCCTGGAAAAAAATGATCATTCAAAAAAGAGAACCAACTCAAGATTGGAACCTGGACAAATCTTGAAGAAAGAAAAAATTGGACAGAAGAAGCAAAAAAACACATCCAGGTATTAAAGAAGCTTCTTTGTCTTTAAACCTTCTTCTCTTTAATGGTCTAGTAATATTCAAGTGAGCAAACCCTCAAACAACTCTTGATCTTTAGAATCCACCTTGTCCTGGAAAAAAATGATCATTCAAAAAAGAGAACCAACTCAAGATTGGAACCTGGACAAATCTTGAAGAAAGAAAAAATTGGACAGAAGAAGCAAAAAAACACATCCAGTTTTCTTTTTTTTTTTTTTTTTTTCAGTATCTTCAACTAATTTGGAAAAAAAATCTAGAATAAGAAGAGTACAAAGAAGGTTGCCACAAGTTTAACATAGGTTTACCATGAAGAGCTACCAAATGAAAGTCAGGTTCTTAATGTTTCTTTCTTAAACATACAAGAGTTAATTGTGTACTATAAAGACACAAGGATTTGAACCTCAAACTGAAATCATTGTAACTTTGAAAGTCCCCACAACATCAGCTTTTCCTTTTGAGTAAATATGTCCAACATACACGAGAATGGTCATGAATGTAATAAACCATTTTGCACCAAGGTCCCAAATATCACTGTGAACATGAGAAAATGGCTTCGATCTCTGATAAGGTTGTGCAGGAAATGAGCAAGATGGTGTTTAGGCAAGGCAATTAATCATGGTTAAAATAATGAATGTTCTTAATTATTTTGAAATAGAGTTGGGATTGCTAAGTATGGAAAACTAGAATGACCTGATCTCTTGTGCCAAAGTTCGACTTCTTTTGTGGTGATAAGGTTGTGCAGGAAATGAGCAAGATGGCATTTAGGCAACGCAATTATTCACAGTTAAAATAATGAATGTTCTTAATGATTTGAAATAGAGTTGGAATTGCAACTATGGAAAACTAGAATGAACAGATCTCTTGTGCCAAAGTTCGACTTCTTTTGTGGAACTTGAGTATTTTTTAGATAGTTTACCTGCACCTGTCGATTTACTCTTGGCAAGGGAAATGTTGATATTGTTGCGTGTTGTCATACTTGGCCAACTTACCTGGGCCAATGGCCCACTTAGGCCGAACCACGTGGCACTCTAGCCGAGGTGTCATGGATTACCGAGGTGGGCTATGGCTGATGCCCTTCACTCCAAAGTCCACTAGCCGAGGCATGCCCCTTTACCGAGGCCGGTGAGGGTAACCGAGGTCCACAGGTTGAGGCCTATGAGCTTGCTGAAGTTGGTTGAAGTTAGCTAAAGCCCTCAAGTGGAAGTATTGTATGAAATGGCTGAAGCTTCGAAGCTGATGCAGGAGCCTCCGAACCACATGGGAGCATCCTCCACAATCACTTCTCCCAAAAGATCGTCTACCCAAAGATCTTGTTCGAATGATTGATGGAACGTTTGTCATAAGCATAAAGGTCAAGTCTTGTCACTAGCATGGAGGCTCTGCACAAACAATAAATGCGCAGCAAGCTAGCAAGTTAAGCCCCTTGCCTAGGATAAGATGTTTGAATCAAAGAGATGAAACCACGTGCCACCTCATCCAAGGGCTCCCATTTCGCATGTATCACTATAAATACTTCCTTTGTGTAACATCAAAGGACTAATGTAAGAATCAATACAAAGAACTACACTTTACTCAACTCTCTCTCATTTACTTGCAATACACAAATCGAGTTTATACACATTTACATATACATTTACGAACATCGGTTGGTAATTATTGTACAATCGGATCACGAACAACCCATCGAATTCCGAACGTCACTGTCCCGTGTCATTGGGCTACTCCCACGCCCTTTGAACCGCTCGTTTTAGACCGTCCACGTGTCTTAGCGTGTTGGACATTCGCCCACGTGTGCGCGGGTGGGACTGGCATCTGTTGGCAACACTTTTTGGGGTCAACAGATATTATCTTCACTTATGGGAAAATCCTTATCCTTACTAATGTACTACATGTTCCAGAAATGAATAGGAACTTGGTTAGTGAAAATCTCTTAGGAAAATCGGGTATCCAATGTGTGTATGAATTCGATAAACTTGTATTATCCCTTAAAGGGAATTTTGTTGGAAAAAAGCTATTCTTGTGATGGAATGGTCAAATTATGTACCATTGACAATGAAATAAATAAATCTAATTTTGCTTATGTTGTTGAATTATTTTCATTATGGCATGCTAGATTAAGACATATTGGTAAAAACACTATGAAACGTATGAAAAAGTGTGATTTGATTTCATATGATGAAAATAATGTTTATAAATGCAAAACATGGGTAGAATAAAAAATGATTAAAAAGCCATAACAAAGTGTAAAAAGAACGTCTAGTATTTTGGAATTAATTCATTCGGATATATGTGAATTAAATGGCATGTTAACTAGAGGAGGAAATAGATATTTCATTACTTTCATTGATGATTTTTCTAGATATACCTACGTGTATTTAATGAAACATAAATATGAAGCTTTTAACATGTTTAAGATTTATAAAAATGAAGTTGAAAATCATCTAGGAAATAAAATAAAAACTTTAAGAAGTGATAGAGGTGGTGAATACTTTTCTAGTGATTTTAACTTGTTTTGTGAACATAGCATAATTCACCAATGTTCTGCACTAGGACACCTGGACAAAATGGTTTGGCTGAAAGAAAGAATAGAACATTAGTAGAAATGATTAATGCCATACTTATATATGTTAAGTTGCCATTTAATTGTGGGGTGAAGCTTTGTTAAGTGCATGTAGGATACTTAATAGAATTCTTTCAAAACATACAAAGGTTTTTCCTTATGAATTGTGGAAAGGAAGGAAACCAAACATTGGATATTTCAAAGTGTGGGGGTGTCTTGCGTATTGCAAGAACACGAACCCTAATAGGACCAAATTAGGTCCAAAAGACATCAAATGTGCCTTTGTTGGATATGCTAACAATAGCAAATCTTATAGATTGCTAAATTTGGAGATCAGTGTGATCATCGAATCAAGTGATGTAGAGTTATTTGAAAATTCGCTATCTTCGGATAACGAATTAAGAAAAAATCAAGAAAATATCCCTAGCCCAAGTGGAACATGGGATGAAATGTCTTCTAAAGATATTAATGAGTCTAGTGAACTACGAAGAAGTAAGAGAACTTGAGTTGAGAAGTCTTTGAGACCGGATGAAATTGATTTTCAACTTATCTCCTGTTACTTAGTAGAAGGAAATGAGTTTAATGTTGTAAGAACAATTCCTTCTGTTCTACAAGTAGAAATCGACCCTAAAATTTATAAAGAAGCTATGGCTTCTCGTGATAGCATCTTTTGGAAAGATGCAATTAAAGATGAAATGGATTCGATATTGTCTAATAAAATTTGGGAACTTGTCGATCTACCACCCGGATCCAAACTTATTAGATGTAAATGGGTATTTAGAAGAAAATATAATGTTGATGATTCTTTAAATACTTTCAAGGCTAGATAAGTAGTCAAAGGATACTGACAAAAGAAAGGAATTGACTATTTTGACACATATACACCAGTAGCAAGAATAACAACAATTAGGATATTATTTGCATTAGCTTCGATATATGACTTGCACGTTCATCAAATGGATGTCAAGACGGCATTCTTAAACGGGGATCTTGATGAGGAGGTCTATATGGAACAACCCGAAGGGTTTGTTCTACCTGGAAATGAAGATAAGGTATGCAAGTTAGTTAAATCGCTAAATGGTTTAAAGCAGGCACCTAGGAAGTGGCATGAGAAATTTGACCTAGCAATAATATCATTTGGGTTTAAACAGAATAGTGTAGATAGATGTTTATTTTCTAAAATATGTGATGATTACATGACATTTATATGTTTATATATGTTGATGACATGTTGACTATAAGTAATCACATAGAGAGTATAGAAGAAACGAAGAGGTTTCTATCTTCTACCTTCAAAATGAAGGATCTTGGACAAGTGGATACTATTTTGGGTATCAAAGTCTCAATGACTAGTAGGGGTTATCACCTGAGTCAATCGCATTATATCGAGAATGTGATAAACAAGTTCAAACACTTGAACTCAAAGGAGTATAGTACCCCTATTGATCTAAGTTCAAAACTACTAAAAAATGATGGAAGGGCGATTGCTCAATTGGAATATGCAAGCATCATTGGAAGTCTTATGTATGCAGTTCAATGCACATGACCAGATATAGCTTATGCAATAAGTAAACTTAGTAGGTTTACTAGCAATCCAAGCAATGATCACTGAAAAGCTATTGGGAGAGTTCTTGGATACCTAAAGAAAACCAAGAAATTAGGTCTACAATATACTAAATTCCCAGCGGTATTAGAAGGATTTACCGATGCGAGTTATATATCTAGCACAAGTGAAAGTAAATCCACCTCGAGTTGGGTGTTCACTCTAGGAAGAGGTGCTGTTTCTTGAAGTTGAAGAAACAGACATGCATAACACACTCGAACATGGAATCAGAATTTGTAGCCCTATCAGATACAGGGAAGGAAGCTGAGTGACTTAAGTATCTCTTCTATGAGATTCCTTTAGGATCGAAGAATATTTCTTCAATACCTATCATGTGTGATAGTCAAGCCACATTAGCAAAGACATACAATGAGGTATATAATGGAAAATCTACACATATGAGTCTAAGACATGACTACGTAAAGAAATTAATCAAAAATGGAATAGTTTCTCTAAATTATGTAGGGTCAATTGAAAATTTGGCGGATCCTATGACTAAATCTCTAAATAGAGATTTAGTAGCATCTACTTTGAGTAGGATGGGATTGAAACTCCTTAACTAAAATATCCACCAATGACGGCAATCCTACCTGTCGT